GGAGTGTCATTGCATAAAGATATATTTCTTCTAATGAGAAAATATGGAATAACAATATGATAAGAGATGAATGGAATAGATGAATTATATGCCGATTCATTAAAAGGGCGACCAAGAAGACTGGAAAACTACAGGACTATATATCTTCTAAACATTGCCTATAAGGCTCTTAAACTGTTTTCATGTGGCATATCCAAGTTAAACGTTATGTTTCATCGTTTTGGCTTTACAACTTTGTGTGGGTCCTAGCCTCCCCTAGAATTTTTTTCTAGTTGCCCCTATCCTTCGCCTTCTTCGGCCGAGCACGTATTTCCATATTTCTCATATCTTGGTCTATGTTATCTAGGAATCTTGTTCTGGGTATTCCTCTTCTTCTTTGGCCAATAGGTCTATCAAGGAGCGTTTTTCTAGCTGGGTCGGTTTGCTCCATCCGCATTACATGGCCTACTCACCTCAGACGTCCTATCTTAATGTGTTTTACGATATCTGCTTCCTGGTATATTCTATAGAGTTCGAAGTTGTATCGTCTTCTTCAGACACCATTTTCATTTACCGCTTCATAGACTCGCCTTAGTATTTTTCTTTCGAAACATCCTAACATGTTTTTATTGCTTTTTGTTAAAGTCCAGGTTTCTGAATGTGAATGTTTCTGACTGGGCGTATTATTGTTTTGTAGAGTTTTACTTTTGTATTTTTTGATATAACTGTAGATTTAAAAAGGGGATTAAGCCCTAAATAGCATGTATTAGCCGAGCAAATTCTGCCGTTTATCTCTGCGGTAGTGTCATTTTCAGTATTGACGAGCGTTCCCAAGTATACAAATTCGGTTAACTGCTTCGATGACGTCGTTTTCTATAACAAGTGGCCATAGTATTTATGGTTGCGTACCTCACACACACACACACACACACACACACACACACACATATATATATATATATATATATATATATATATATATATATATATATATATATATATATATATATATATATATATATATATATATAGTTCATCCCAACCCCTATGGAACATGAGTGTACCACTGCTAGACAGTGGGACCCCCATGTCCTAAGATCAGACAGGTTTCGTTCCAAAAGAACAAGTCATTTTGGCTCGGTACCTATCTGAACCCCAGGTTTTTCCACCACCCCTCCTCTACGTCTGACATACGCAGAGTAGTTAGGCTATAAACTGTTACGTCGGGCGATTTGGGAAAAGAAACACCCTCCGTTTTTCATGACTTGTGGTTAGGCCATCTAGCTGTAGGGGTAGCTTAGTGTAGCTTTTCTCCCTATTTACTTTATTGAATTTAATTTAACTTTACTTCGGGCTCTGTGGCCCTAAAATGTGTGTCCGATCAGGGAGTCGGTAGCAAGCTGTCGGCCCCCTGTTCGGAGGTTGTGTGCTCGGTCACACAGTCGTCAATTTGGCAAAACAAGTTTTGGTCTCCTTGCCGACTGGGCGACCGATAGGCCTGTCCACCGAGCCCTTGTTTGTCGCACACGACCTCGATGCTCAGTTTTCGCGGGTAGCCTGTGGCAACTTTGTCCTGAAGGGCTATTCCTGAAGGGAATTTGCCTTAAGGGCGTGCCTGAGGGGCCTCAGCCTGGTTTCTTTAATGATTAGGATTCTGTGTCCTGATTATTCAATTTGGCTTTATTAGCTTTAACAGACTTTGTTAGTAGGGATTTTGGATGAAATAATAATAGGGGTAGGGGAGGTTTAATGGGTGGGATGTGCATTCCCAAGTGTATAACGCTCTCACACATCCCGTGTATATGTTTTTGGGTTTTTTGTTATGTTGTAACTGGTTAGTAAAAATAAAATAACTGAAATAATAATAACTAATGAAATAAAAATATAGGGAGGGTGGGTTAGGATTTTAGGGACTTTTTTTGGTAAGCTAGGCTCGTTTTTTGTTTTCTTTTTTTGATTATTTTGTATTTTTGTGATTTTTTGACCAAATTTGTTAAGCTATAGATTAGGGCATCTTATGTGAATATCATTTCATTACGTTCAATCAGGGTTTCCCCTGTATCCAGCCAGCTGTTGGCCGTCTATGTACTGTCCTTAAATTAGGGTCGTAGTTTGTCAACTCTCTTAGCAAACGGTTCGGATGGTTTCTGAGGTTTTCAAAAAGCTCATATGCATGTTCGTTCACCATGGTCAGGACGCTCTTTTGCTGCGAATCCCTACATACGTATCTTAGCGGTACGTACTTAGGTATTTTAAGAGCCTCTCTGATCATGAAGTTCTCTACAGTCTGGATTTTCTTTCTATTTGATTTACATGCATGCCTCCGCGCTGTTGAGACGTATGTGAGGGATGGCAGAATGATGGCGTTTGCCATTCTTATTTTCGTTTTGAACCTCAGATTACTTTTTCTCCCTATTAGCGAGGAGAGCTGACTTCTAAGGATTTTTGCCTTGTATACCGTTTGGTTTATGTGTTCGGTAAAGGTGAGTCGTTTATCTAGCGTTATTCCAAGATATTTGGCACTGTCTTGCCATTCGACTGGAGTATCGACGATAGATATTTCCCGGTCTGGAAGTCCTTGTCGTTTTTTGTACATGACAGCCTATGTTTTTTCCGGGTTGACAGCAATTTTCCACGTAACACACCAAGATTGCAGCTGGTCAAGGGCCGTTTGTAAGTATCTAGTGGCCAGATCAGGCTTTGTATTGCTAGCAGCTATAGAAGTGTCGTCGGCGTATAGGCTGAGCATAGTACGTGAGTCACTAGGGGTATCTGAAGTGTATATGGTATACAGGTAAGGCGACAGCACGGCTCCCTGTGGTACTCCTGCCTCCATGATTCCGACTTCGGATAGGGTGGGCCCTATACGAACTCTGAATCTTCTGTTGGCTAGGTACGAGGAGAGAAGATATATCATCGCTTCACTGTATTCCAGTTCGTTCATTTTATACAGCAGTCCGTCATGCCTATGCGTACCTATTTTCATGTATTTCGTTTTATTGGTGTTTATTATTAAACCCATTTTTGTAGCCGCTTTCTTTAGTGCTACGTACGCATCTCGTGCTGCGTTTTACGTTGTCCCAACAATATTGATATCATCAGCATATGCTAGGATTTGCATAGATTTGTTATATATTTAACCGGTAGTTGTGATTTGTGACGTTATGTTTATATGGGATAAATCTACAATTTACTGTAATAACAATTACATTTTTAACTAACTAGTATTTGTTATATATATGATTATTTTAAAAATTCTGGGAAATGCTTAACTAACAAGTTATTTGCAGGTTATGTTTATCAAAATTGAAGGTTAATTTTTTTCCTCGATATGGCAGACCACGGCAGTCTTAAGGTTAAAAAATCTGACGGTGGTGTTTTTTACCTACGGAATATCAAACTGACCAGTGACTAATAAATGATATGTGCTTTTTTACTTTATAAATTATGAGTTTTGTTCAATTGGTTTTGCAAACAAACAAATATATTTGTTATAGCGTACTTTTGTAGAAGGAAACCGAAAAGGTGGGAAGATACAGTGGCAGCTTACGTGCAAAATTTGCTTGACGTGAGAACCTGGAGAAGATCGGCATGAGACCGGCAAGGTAGAAGACATATTTGAAGAAGGCCAATGCTCGATTTGGGCTGTAGTGCCATTGGAGAGAAAGGATAATATCGACTATGATGTAGGGCAAAATCGGCCAAGCACTAAATTTTTTTTAAATACATTTAATTTTAATATTTGAACATTATTCTACAGTGAGCATGGGTGACAAATATACAGTGACTCGTTTTCATCGCTAGTACAGTCAGCATGGGCCCAAGTTGCACATGAACGGCAAATGTCATTATCATATCCAAATTGTTCGCAAATGGTGCAGATTTAATTACCTTCTTTTCTCTTTTCAACTGGAGTTTTCTCTTTATTTGCAACTTTTCTTGTAACCTTTTGTTATTTTTCAGTATTTTTATATTTTTTTTGCTTTTTAATTTGTATCTCAGCTTTTAATGGGCTAGATGTTAATATTTGCAAATGCTCTCTTTTTCGCTGTAAATTAGTTCCCACCTTTTATTACTCTTGAATTTTTGTGGGGTCCGGTTTTTGTATCTATGTGTACCTATCGTATTTAGGTTATGAATTAATTATTATAATAGTACTTACAGTTATATAGTTGTTATTATTTATATCAATATCAATGCAATGCGTCACTTTCCTTCACTATTCACACACTGTAAAAATTTGTTGGTCACAGCTTAAAAATTGAGTAATATCACGGAGTTATTTCAAACACGCTTATTGTTTATCTTTATCAGTAGAAATCCCCAAATGTACTATGGTCCCAATGTATCAAGAAAGTGTAAAAACGAACATAGAAATATAAAACAAACTAAAGGAAGAAATCAGACATATCAAAGCACTCCACCTAGAAATCTTCGACGCCACATTCTGAGAAGACTACATTAAGACATGCTTCGAAGAATAATCAATTGAATCTAGGCCAGTATGGCCTAGAAAAAGAAGACCGAGAAAAAGATAGAGAGATGGGGTGGAAGACGACATAAGAGCCATGAAGGTTATAGATTGGAGAGCTCAATGCATGGACCGAAAAACGTGGAAACAGATCACCACAAACAAGAAAACACATAGCAAATTATATACCTAATGAATAAAGGAGAATAATCCACCTACTTACACTAGGTGTAAGTCATAATTTCATAGGATTGCAAAGCTATAATGATGATGATTCGAACCTCGATATTGCTTTTTTATATTTTTAAAATCATGTTTTGAAGATTTTTATTTATGTCCATCCCATTGTTTCCTGTTTCTGTTTGGGTTAAATCACACGATCAATATTGTTTACTATGAACTTATCATTTTCAATGGAAGCTCAAATTTAGGGCAAATATAACATTAAAATAGAAAGGTATATTTCTAACTTATTCTTGTTTGTTTAATGTGCTGCGTGTAATAGTTTTTTTTTATTGCTTCGAGTAACATTTCGTTCGTATTTTTTCAGAAAAACTAAGGAGAAATATTCCTGTCTTCGTGGGAATAGTAGCTTCAGTATCACTAATCATCATCGCGATGTGTTTTTACAACATCCGTTCAAAATGTATATACAGGTACATACAAGAAATAAAAAGACTCCCTCTTCTAAGGTCTTGCGGAGTTACAGCGCCAGAAGTAAATGTTTGTTCTTCATCAAGAAGGTAAGAATAGTGTTAAGTCTTTATTAATTCTAATTTATTGTTCTTATTTTAATTTACTAAAGGTTCAATATTTATAACACTTATAAACTTAATTTATTTAAAGTTTATTTATAATAATTGATCTTACAATAATAATTTATTATTATGATCGTTACATTTAAATACCCGATCTCGATTTTCTTTTCTGACTGCCTGTTTTCTCCAAAAAGGTCCCGCTAAATACCCAATACCGTTAGACTAGAAAAGTCGATCGCCTTCTCGTCTGGAATTCGAAGTCTGGAAGTCGAAATATTTATTCGAATCCTTCTGGAGAGTTCGGTAGTATATGACCTACAAAATACGTGAATGAATAGAATATTAGTAATAAATATGTTTACGGTTTTGGGTCAGAATTTATCGTAACATTGCTCCCCTCGTAAAAGATGGTTCCTCATGGAACCTTGTCGGGATTGGAACTGGAAGGGTATACTGGTATCGGCAACTGGACCCTCCTTTACAACTTCCAGTTGTATAAAAATGACAAGGGACGGTTTTCTCTCCGCACCAGTAACTATGCGGATTGCAACAGACCAACACCTGGACTTCGGTGTCTTTAAAGATCTCCTCCACAATATTTCGGATAACCCTCCAATCTAATTGGCGGATACGTGCGTACATACATGATACTCATCCATTAACTTCGAGTTTTTATCGAAGTTAATTAATTTCCTTCATTTAAAAAAACGTTTTTTTTTTTGGCTTATTTCAGATGCCCCTGAAGATGCTGTTTTAAGCGAAAGTACTTGGGCAAGATTTAATTATTAAAATTGTGCTCGATATTTGCCTTTCATTTTCAAAGTTAATTTAATAAAAGTAAACAGAATATTATTTAAAAATTTGTTTTAGGTGTACAATTAATTCGATATACTTGCCGATAGAACATCAAAAATTGGTGAGTAGCTTTAATTATCACTACTAATCATTTAGCTTATAAAACATTTTTAATATAAAAAAAGTTAAAAAAAACTTCACAATGATGTAAAAACTTCGAGTGTCATTTTTTATGTATATGTTTATGTATATTTAGGTATATGTTTAACAAAACATTAAATTAAAAATCCAAATGGATTATAAATATTTCGGAACGAACGGTTTCGGTCTTATAAGACCATCTTTAGTGAAATGTAAAGTACTTACTCAATATGATGGAACAACGGATACAATGTAAGAACAAAGATAACAATAAATACAGGAAGATTAACTACGAGATCAAGAAGATGGTAGCAGGCATAGAGCAGGCAAAAGAAAAATACTTTGAAATGCAAAGAGATCGGGCACCTTCAAAAGATACGATCTGTTTAACCTAAACCAGAAAGTTAAAGAAATGGCAGGACTAAGAACAAAATCTCACTGATGCACTTGTAGATAGACACGGAATTACTACAACACAGATTGATGAGAAAGTTCAACGGGGCAAAATACATCGTCGAACTGTACGATGATGAAAGAGGGGGAGCTGGAACAAACAGAACTTACTTCAAAAGAAATATTACAAAAGAAGAATTATTACACGCACAAAATAAATGAAGAACGTGAAAATCCCTGGATATAACATGCTTCCTATCGAAATACTAAAAATTATTTTATATGAGGAGCACATTGATGTTTTAGTGACACCCTTGAACCAAATTTATAGTTCAGGCGTATTATTACCCAAGGACGGGTTAAAGTTGATCTTTATTTGTTTCCCCAAAAAGAAAAACGCAAGAGAATGCGGAAATTATCGCAGCATTCGCTTGCTGTCCCATGTTCTAAAGTTACTACGAAAAGTCATCCATAGCCGAGTATATCATAAACTGGACATATAAAAGTCGGAGATGCCACACTGGACAGAGTAGATAAACTCGTGTATCTCGGCAGTTATATCAATGAGAGCTGGGATCCAACCGCAGAAATTAAAAGCCGAATAGAACAAGCCCGAGCTGCCTTTGTAAAAATGAGAAACGTACTTTGCGGTCACGATCTTAGCATTGACCTTAGCGTTCGTATGACATCTTGCTACATCTTTCCTGTCCTACTGTATGGAGTGGAAGCGTGGACTCTAACTGAGGCTATGCTTAAACGCTTGACAGCCTTTGAGATGTGGGTATACAGACGACTACTGAAAATAAGCTGGGTCGACAGAGTTAGAAATGAGGAGGTCCTTAGACAGCTGAGCCAAACAACACAACTGGTCAATATAATAAAGAAACGCAGGCTGGAATACTTCGGTCACATTATGAGACACCCTGAAAAATATGATCTTTTACATCTGATCATTCAGGGAAAGATCCAAGGTAATCGTGGTCCTGGTAGACGAAGAACATTATGGCTGAAAAATCTAAGGCAATGGTATGGAAAATCAACTACATCGTTATTTAGAGCTGCTGTCAATAAAGTCACGATAGCGAATATGGTAGCCAACATGATATCCAACAATCGATAACGGTCATGGAACTAGAAGAAGAAGAAGGTTATATACATTATTTATACACAATTTATGTTTCAAAATGGTCTTAAAATACGTAAATCTCTTTCTTCCCTTAATATACTAATACAAAGATGCCTGGATTACATCCAAGGATGTCAAACAAGATCAAAGAAGATAGACTACAATGACCTCAGGATCATATCGAATTTATACTATCAGCAGCAAGCAAAAGTAAGTGTTAACGAACAGCTGTCAAAGAAAATTAAAATTAGACATGGGGTGAGACAGTAATGCGTATTGTCGCCAATTCTTTTTAATGCCTACTCGGGAGAAAACCTGAACTCTTGAGGATGAAACTGCTGAAATAAAGGTAAATGAAGTTCCCATTACCAATATTAGATATGCGGATTACACTGCTACTGACTCTTCTTAGCCAAAAATATTGAAGATTTTCAGAGACTTGTGAGCAGAATACTGGATTATGGAAAAGAATACGGTCTAACAATGAAGTTCAGGAAAATAAAAGTTATGAGAATATCGAAAACCCAAAGAAATAACGAGAATCTTCTAATTAACGGAACTAATGTCAAACGAGTGGGCAAATATGCTTATCTTGGAACAACTCGATATGGATTAACTCCATAAATTATTACTTCCAGGAAATCAGAATCAGAATAGAAAAGACTAGAGCAAATTTCAACAAAATGAGAAGAGTGCTCTGTACAAGAGTGCTCTGTACAAGAGTGCTCTGTACTAAACAGCGTCAACAAAGATAGAGAACTGCTAAAGACTGTTAAACATCAAAAAATGTCTTGTCTGGGACATATAGTAAGCTGAAGTCGATATAAAATATTATAACTGATCCTTAAAGGCAAAATAGGGGGCAGTAGAGGTGTTAGAAAGAAAACAAGTTTCTTGGTTAAATAACATTCCTTAATGGACTCAGATATCAGATGGAGACAATTATTCCATATTGCAGAAGATCGAGAATCCTTCGCAATTGTGATCGTCAACGTGGGATAATTCTGCAGGATTATGCAGGAAAATTCCAAGGAAGAAAAGCATAAGGAAACCTAAAATATTATGAATGCGCAACCTGAGAGATTGGTACGGATGTACATCAAATGAACTTTTCAAAGCAGCCCTCTTCAAAGTTCGAACATCTGTGATGATTGCCGATCTTCTTCGCGGAGATGGCACTCAAGTATGGCACATTGCCATTATTTAATGGGAAGTCTTCTAAAGGCGGCTGCACAATTGACCGGAAACGGAAAGGAGAACGGAAACTGAAAGCATCAGCAGATTCACAATTAAGGGTAAAAAAGGTGTTTTGTGCTACGAATATTTACATGTTTTGTCACTGTCACTTGTGCTATTAATTATTTTTTTCTCGAAATAAATTTTGTGGAACAATCTTTTTCTAATTTTATTAAAATAGAATGATACAAAAAACAAATTTAACCCCTGCTGTTGGAATGGGTCCGAACATGGCTGCAAATACTGTAACAAGATTAAGGGATAGATTAGCCAACTATTTAATATCTGATGTAGGTTCAGTACCTTGGCAGCAAAAATATATTAATAAAGGCCGAATTTAATTTTTTTTATTGTTACCAATGTCTATAAAGTATTATTCTTGAAAATGAAATTTTACTCAACTGAAATGAAAATAGTTCTTTTACATAGTTTATTATGTTACTCCGTATATTTCAATAAAAGATCTAGTACATCTTTTTTTAAATTTTAATTTGTTTTTTCGTGTTAACGACTTCATATCTTCTACTACTGACTTCATAAAAATTAAGTCACTACTGTTGTGTGAGTCTTTTAATTTTGACTCACAAAATTTACTAAAATGAGCTGCTGCAACAGTCATCATGTCCATTGCTTACAATATTCTACAATATAACAACAACTATTGTTTTTTTTTACTTTATACCTCTTACTGCATCGATCATACATTTTTTCACTAAAGAAATCAATAGTTCGTTATAGTCATTCATTTTAATGTAAAATACATAAAATGCTTAGACAAGACGGTTAGGTTATAAAAGTCACTCAAAATGTAAACAAATTTTCATTTGGCATTTGACACTATTTTAAATACTGCTTTGTGATTGATTCCGGTAATACAACGGGAACGAGAAAGTTAAAACATGGGCAACTTTTCCGTTCTCGTTACCGGGCGGCTTCTCGTTCTCGATTATTGTGCATCTAAACATTGATTTACGTAGAGGTTAACTTTTTTCCCGTTCCCATTTCCGTTTCTGTTTCCGTTCTCGTTCCCGTTCCCGGGCAATTGTGCAGCCGCCTTAAGTTTTTAGTCTTGGTCGTCTAGACTAAAATTAAAGTAATCACTTTGTAGACCCAAACATTGATAGCTAGATAAATAGATTCAATGGGGTGACATTTGCTTATTCCACTGCGGACTTTTCAGATCATGTGGTCCTCTAATCCTAGATTAAATTTTTTAGCCTATTTCGCTTGTCTTTGTCCTGGTGAATTCCTCCCAATTCCAAAGAGTTTTGTGCTACCCACTTTCTTGTAGCTGTTCTGAGGCCTCTGCAACGCTGCAGAAGGGTTCTGGTCCAATGAGTGGCATTAATGAGCCTTATTTGGCCATTTCATCTACTTTTTCATTGTCATAATGACCCTCGTGTCGTGGTATCTAGGCTACCGTAACCTTGCTACGATATCCTAGTTTATTTAGGGTATTCACACAATCCCAATATTGTTCTGAAGCTATTTTCTTGTAGCATTTTAAAGTAATTACTATTTAAATGGGAATAAGCCATAATTAAAGGTCAAAGTTAGTTTATTGACGTTTCAATTTCCACTTCGAAAATCGGAGAACGATTTAATTGTGGCTTATTACCATTTAAATATTAACCACACAATCCCATACTAGATTGGAAGAATTCTACAGAATTGAGTACCTTAAGCGTTGCCTGGCTATCTGTGAAGATGGCAATTGAATGTTGCGTTCTTTTCTGGCTTTCTATTTCTTCCACGCAGTGATGGATTGTCGTTATTTCCACCTGGAAAATTGGGACATCCTTAGATAGACTTACTGGGAAATGTATCCCTTATTTTGTCCCTACTGTACCGGTTCCTAGACCCTTTTGAGCCATTCAAAGTAAATAAAGTGAGTAAAATTCTTTTGTGGATAGATTTTTGAGATCACCTATCAAGGTTGTTCAAAGTAGAGGTAACAAAACTTCTCTTTAAGGACAGCCTCTACCTACTCTTGCTTTGATAGTTCCTTTAGCCAGAGTGGATATTACTATCCTATTCTCTTTATGGACAGCCTTTACCTACCCTTGCTTTGATAGTTCCTTCACCCAGAGTGGATATTACTATCCTATTCTTCTCCAGGGATGCCATATGATTTGATTTAACATGTTTTGGTTCACTTGTGTTGAAATGATATTTTGTAAATGTAATTTTTACCGTTAGTTTTTTTGTAAGTGATCTTTTACAAATTATAAACTGAAAAATTAATATAGCCAAGCTAATATACATATTTCAGGTGGGTTAAATTAAATAAAACTAAAAAAAAGTACATGTCACAATCTATTTAATATTCCATGCTCATACATTTAGCTTGGATTGTTTTATGTAAATATTTTTCGCTCTTCATAAATTTGATAAGATCATATTTGAAATTTAAATTGTTGATTTCAGTTTAAATAGCATTTTGTATTGGTGTTTACACTAAAAGAAATACTACATTGTCGCGAAAAAGTTTTATTTACAATTATGTTGGTTTTGTAGTAAAAATTTTAATGTCTTTATTTTTAGGGGAGCGTCAATACTGTGTAGAAAAAATAGAAGAGGCAAAGTAAAAAACAAGATGTAGATAATTATAATACGGAACGTATACTATTAAAATTAAGTATTTGGTAAGAAACTGTTTTCTGATATTTTAACTATGTAAAATAAAACGCATTCGTTTAAAAATATATAAAAAGTAGGACAGCTGTTTAAATTTTACGATATTAGTTATATATGTATAATAATTTAACATTGTAAAAATTCCCATGTAGCTCAGTTATTCTAATACTGAAATAATCCGTGTATTATAGTAAAATCTTTGTAAATGTTTTAAACACAATATTCTTTTTACGGTACATATCCATAACGATTAACAAGGCTACCTTTACTTTGCTGACAGCTATCCGGAACAGTCCAGTTATAGACTTGTTGAACCAGTTTCTTAGGTTTCGAACCCATGGTGTGTGATAATTATAGAAGCATCACCCTACTTAACGTGGCATATAAAGTATTGTCCAACGTATTGTACAGAAGATTGATCCCCTATGCTGAACAAATAGTTGGGAACTACCAGTGCGGTTTCCGACCCAATAAATCAACAACGGATCAAATCTTCACAGTCAGGCAGAGTCTTGAGAAAACGCTTGAGTTCGGAGTCGACACCCACATCATATTCGTGGATTTCAAAGCCGCATACGACTCAGTCAACAGACAAAAACTTCAAATGCCGCTTCATCTTGTTTAACTAACGGAACTTACACTCACAGGCGTAGAGAGTGTAGTCAGAATCCAAAACAACTTTTCAAGACCCTTCCATTGTAAAAATGGACTGAGACAGGGAGATGGACTGTCGTGTCTCTTATTTAACCTTGCGCTAGAAAAAGTAATTCGAGAGTGCCATATTAATACGAATGGCACCATCTTTAATAAATATGTACAAGTTGTCGGAAACGCAGATGACGTAGACTTATTGCTAGGTCTACAGAATGTCTGATCGAAGCATTCCGATCATTAAGGGCGTCTGCACTGAGAATGGAATTAAAAATAAACGCACAGAAAACCAAGTATATGTATTGTACTAGATTAAGCAACCAGATACCTAGACTATTAACAGCTGATCTAGAACTGGAAGGTGTGGACACCTTCGTCTACCTGGTCTCGCTGCTGACCAATGACAACCATGTCAGCGAAGAAATTAAAAGAAGAATAGTTCTTGCCAAAAAGTGCTATTATGGATTGAGGAAACAGATGGCCCCAAAACTACCCAGAAAAATTAAAGTTACCATATATATAAAACACTAATAAGGCCAGTGTTAACAAACGGATCAGAAACGTGGTCACTTATACAGAACGACCAAGAATTGCTTAAACATAGGAGTCCAAGAACAGGGTTTGTGGCGTAGGCGCTACAACTTTGAGTTATACAGAAGTTTTGGGGAACCTGACGTTGTAAAATGTATTAAATTAGTACGCCTTCGATGGATAGGACATATGATTAGACGAGATGAAGATGCAATGATCAGAAAAATTTTCGACCGAAGAGGACCAGTAGGAAGACGAGCCAGAGAGACCAAAACTTAGGTATCAAGATAACATAGACGATGATCTAAAATCCATCGGAATTAAAGCATGGAGAAAAGCTGTCAGAGACAGGGATGAATGGAAGATTGTTCTGAAGAAGGCTTTGGCTCATGACGAGCTGTATTGCCACTGACGATAAATGTTAACATGCACTGCGCAAACAAGCACCCTGCTCTGCTTTTTTACTTTCGCATTAACTAGTTCTAAGGGCTTTGTCCTCTTCAGTCTTCTAGCTAGCCCTGTGTTGTCAAGGAGCTGCATCGCTTTAACATTCACATAGCTATAAAGTCGTTTTTCATGATTTTCAGCCGTCTTCTTGATAATTGTAACCACAGTTTCCATACCCATATCCTTATGGAGGTCTCTGTTCCTCATGTACCTTTCTGAAATGTCTTGATTATTTCTATATTACTTTTCTTGGCAAACTCCCAGAGTTGGCTAACATAAGTCCAAATAGGTCATAGTATTTGTTTATGAAGTAAAAGCTTGTTGTATATAGATAGAGAGGACCAATATTTTTTTGTATCTTATTCCAAGTTCTTGGCATAGTTGTACATCTAATGTTATACCTAGGTATGTTGCCTTATTTGCATATGTTTCTCGGTTATTATTAATTGTAACTGGTATATTTGGCATCTTTTTATTGGTAAAGCTAACGTGTACAGATTTATTTTCGTTCAACCTAATTTTCCATTTTTTTGTCCAATAATATATTTTGTTAACTGCTGTTTGTAGTTTATTTATTGTCTCTTCGATAGTGTAATCTACCACTAAAATGGCAGTATCGTCCTTAAAAGTAGGAATGGTATTATGTTTTAATATCGCACGTATATAGCAAATAAAGGACCGGGTCCAACACGCTACAGCGAAACTCCTGCACTAATTTCTCATCATGTCTGAATAGTTGTTTTCTTACCAATCAATCCTTCATGCCATACTGTATCGAAGACTTGATCAACATCAAGAAATATAGTATAACATACATTTTTTCTTCTAATGATTTTTTAGTGATATGTATGATTTAATGCGCTTGATCAATTGTCGCGTGCTTATTTCTAAATCCAAATTGATCTGTCGGAATCATTTTTTTTGTTTTCATAATTGTTTTTATTCTATTGAGTAGGAGAGTATCGAATACCTTCGATATTACAGGACGTAGTTGTACGAGAGCTAATCAGAATCAGTAATCAGAATTTTCATTGGCATTGTAGGTTCTTAAGTGACGTTAGATTCTTCATAAGTTGATGGTTTTTCAAAAGATATAGAAGGAACTATTGAGGAATTATGTGAAATGCTCAATTGTAAAATATTCTTGTTTTGCGGAGAAAGAAGTAGCAGTAGCTTGTGCAGATGGAAGTGGCCGGTCAGTTACTGAAGACGTTAGGAATTCTGCTTCGGTGAATGAGAGGGTAGATCTAGGTAGCCAGTCTTTCGAAAACCCGAAACAATATTGTTCTGCGTTACAGCCAATTGGTCAGCTTGCCCCATAAGATCTCCTATGCAGTAGTACACCCAATCATTACAAACTCGTTATATTGACTTTTAAATGGGGCCAAGAGCGACACATCGAGGGGCTGAAGTCCTTAGCTACAATATGATGCCATGATGGAAACATTAAAACTCCGTTTTCTTTTGCTTTCATTATAACCTCTAAACTAAACAAAAACACTAAACCTCTTTTATTGTAAGGCCCCCATTATTTAAATAACTTTCTTCATTATTTCTTCTAAATAAACATTGAATAATGATGGTGACCCCCACATCCCTACCTGACATCGCAACTTATTTTTATTTTATCTGATATCAAGTTATTTATGCAAACGCTACCTTCTTAAGCTTGTTCCAAGTAAATATTGTTTAGAATTCCGTTTTCTTTCTTGTCAGCGTCAGCGTTTTCAGTTTGGAGTAATTGTATCAAATGCCATTAATATAGTAGATATACATACATTAAAAGTTACAAGTTTAAGAATATTTTGTTTAAGTTATCAAAAATAATTTCCTGCATAATTTATAATTTTCTATAAATGTTATTATACTATATATATATATATATATATATATATATATATATATATATATATATATATATATATATATATATTAGAATAGATCTTATTTTTAAAAATGATTATTTTTAAATAATATAAATGTAAATATTTATAACGCGTAATATATTTGTGTTTTTCACAGTACATATTTATTCCCATTTCCTTCTTATATACAACATTCATATTATAGTTTATATTATTGAAATCTTAGAGATATTAGCAAGATGTGCAAATAAAAATTTGACTTATCTCCAATAAAAAGCGGCTAAATGGCTCTCTCGCATAATACTTAAAAAATGTTTCTCACTTTGGTCCATTGGTCAGTGAGAATAGAAACCATGCGTAGTAACTTGACTTTATTAATTGTATTTAGCAAGTCATTTGTGGTGAGACTAGATGTAGTTACAATAAAAATCGTTCCAAATTTAAGTTGGATCAGCATAAGCTGAGAAATGCAAGGATAATGAAAACTTCAGTAATAGTTCGAAATATTCGATATCGAATCATCGATATACCCCTGCAAGACGGACGGACAACTGCCGTTGTCATAAGAGGGAGGATGACCACCAGGCCAGGACGGGAGACAAGGAAGAAGTCTCCCCGAGATCAATAGTACCACAATTGCAGATAACTGCATAATATTGACGGCACATCCTGGAAACGTCTACTATTAGACAGTGACGAGTATTACTAGTATAAACATTGAGGTTATCACAGCTAAAAAGGTCTTGTTAGAATTATGTAAGATCCCAAAATGTGATATATTGTGAATCCAAGAAACTCACAGATACTTAATTATCAGAATACCGAACATGTCAGGTATGAGATAAATTTTATTCTTCTTCTTCTTAAAGTGCCCTCTCCTCAATGGAGGTTGGCTACTACAATTTTAAACTTTTCTCTATCTTCAGCTGTTCTTATTAGCTGTTCAAAATTTAGCCCTGTCCATTGTCGGATGTTTCTGAGCCATGATAGTCTTTTCCTTCCTAGGCCTCTCTTTCCCTTGATTTTTCCTTTCACTATAAGTTGGGCATATTGGTACTTATTATTTCTCAGTATGTGGCCTAGGTATGATGTTTTTCTTACTTTTACTGTGTTAAAAAGTTCTCTTTCCTTGCCTATTCTATGCAGCACTTCTTCGTTTGAGGTATGCGATGTCCATGAAATTTTGAGTATTCTCCGGTAGATCCACATTTCAAAGGCCTCCAATTTATTTACGGTTGATGTTTTAAGGGTCCACGTTTCAACTGCATATAGAAGAGTCGACCAGACGTAGCATTTTGATAAACGTAGTCGAATTTCGAGTTTTATTCGAGAATCACAAAGCAGTTTTTTTATTTTTTCGAAAGATTTTCTAGCCTGTTCTATTCTCGATCTTATTTCTTGATCAGGATTTAGGCTGCTATCGATCCAACATCCCAGGTACTTAAATCTATTGACCTGTTCTAAGATGTGCCCATTTATTGTGCAAGGTTGAGGTACGTTTTCGTTTTTTCGGATTGACTAATTTTATACCTTCACATAATTTTCAATCACAGTCCAACTAGATTGTTTTGGGAGATTTTAAAAGCCACAACATACTATGGGGTTATACAGAATCTGACTTAAATG